TTGCCGCCTGGGGAGCGGAACATTTCAGACTTTCATTTTTTTTGACGCACCCTAGTGGGCCACCTTAGTTAAACGTGACAGTCACCTTAGTCACGTTGTATAAAGCGGCATGTTATCGTAAAAAAAGATCCTCATTTGATCACAAGTTTGAACGTACCTTCAGAACATCACCTCAAAACATTTTGAGAACGCAGTCAACTCGAAAGAGTAAGGGGTTACTCGGTACTCCACGCGTGAAGCCGTGGACCCACGTTCGAAGTGAAGCTTCAAAGTTGTGGTTGTTAAGTCAAATGTTGTGCATCGATGACAACACTTGATTAAACAGCCATCACTTTGAAGCTCCTTATTGCACACGTGTCCCACCCCTGAAGAAAGTTGTCGCAGTGAGATAACTTCGAATTGTTATCGTCGATCCCAAGGCACTGCTGCAGTTGAGTTAAATGAGCATCTCTGATATCAAGTCATTGAGACTATTGACGGTAAATAATAAGTGTTTAAGTATACCAGCGGGGCGATTATTGAAATGTCATAGACTCCATGTCGCCCGTTGCGACAAGCCATAGCCCTATCTTAACCGTGCAATATATCACAATTCGATGTCTTATCGGGCTGGTTTAAATTTCAATAATCGGCCCGCTGATTGATGTTTTGACTACGTCATTCGATATAATATCAAACTATCGATCGCTCCGTCTTTCAAACCGAAACAATAACATGAAACTCGTACCGCGCGTAAAATGTGAAGTTAACTTTAACGTGAACATATTTTAAATGTCGTTTGCTTCGACCATCTCATGAAATGTCGAACTTTCTCTCCCGTGGGCCGAATATTGGAAGTCTAATGCAGCCCGATAAGACATCGAAATGCGATATATCACATGGTTCAGATAGGACTGTCTTCTCTTATCGCGCTGACATTGTTTCCATAATCGGGACGCTGCGCTGGGAAGAAAGTTTCATAGGCATCGGCGAAAATGCCTTCAGATCTGGACATGTGGATCGATTCGTGTGCCGAAAATGTAAAGATTCTTAGAGCTAGAATATACCTGAAAATGAAACTACCCGAAGATACCACTAAACAAAAACGGAAGTTGAACCAGTGAACAGCGCAAATTCTTTAAAGGGTGCAAAAAACCATTTTAATCAGAAATTTGGGCGCAACGTGCGTAACACGTTTCTCACTGAGACTCGAAAATTGAGAAAAATAAAGATTGCTGCCGTCTTTACAGCCACTGCCACTCCCTCCATTTTGGATCGTATTCAATATTTAGTTTTGCAGGACAACATGGGTTTTGAGGCTGTTAAAAATATTACAACATTATGACATGCTTGTTGTTGTTTTTTTTTTTTTTTTAAAAATAACATCGAATGTGGAGAAGTCGTCCATGCTACAAACACCTCCCAAATTTGAACTTGTTTGTTACCCGGTCAACCCCCCCCCCCCTCCATATTGTTTCAGCACATTTTGGTATTTCAGCATATCTAATTTTTTGCGTGATTTCAGTAATTGTTTTGCAAAGAATGTAAGAAGCACAATTCTAGCAACATTGGATTGCTCTTGGTTCCTTCATGCAAAATTCAATCCAAGTAACGATATGAGGCTACAACCATATTAGTATTTATTATTGTCTGTAGAATTCCGCGAGGCTCACTCCAGTGACCGTTGCGCAATAATCATCGAATAGATGAATAAATAAAAAAAAACAACAGTAATTATCAGTAGCCAAAAAGTTAGAATCATACTTCTTTGAAAGGTTTTCACAATTGTTCAGGTACTCATAATTTATCTGCTTCTCATTCAGTTGAAGTAACACCTTTCTGTATTACCCTGTTTCCTCAGATCGCTAAAATTATTCTGAGGGAGAATAATATTGAATCTAAGTGCTTGTTGGAATTCCTAAATTCTTCCCAGAAACATACTGAAAAAAAAAAAAACAAAGAATAAAACCGAATGGAACCGTCAGTTAGTTTTCTTACATCAGTATTTTCTTAAATATGAAATTTTAGGATTCTCGCCACCAAAACTTAACGCACGCGTTTATTAATCGGAGTTTTCAGTTTCACGAGTGAAACAGAATGGAACCCTCGACAAGGCACGAATTAAAGCACTGCGCAAGATGTTTTCTATTCAGTTTACGACGAAAACGAAGCATACAACGGCAATCCCGAAGTTCAACTCTTAACAAGTCATGTAAGTGTTTAAATTTAATATTGGTTAAATGGCAAAAATAAAAATGACGTCATTTGTATTATCTAACCTCCATTTGATTTGTGTCAAAAATATTTTCTAATATCTCACTCATTAGTTGATTTCCGAAATGCCCGTTGTATTATTCGTTTTCTATGTAAGATTTTGAAGAGATTTCATGTGAAGTTAATTTCTAGATCACACTGAGAAAAAAAGTAGCTTGGATCAAGAGTCCAGACTATTAAAAACATCGAGTAGAAAAAATACTCTTAATTCAATCGGATTTTTCCTCGAATCAAAGAGCCGAGCCTCTTGATTTAAGTAGATCTCCATTTGAATCAAGAGTAATTTTTCTTGTCAGTGTTTTCAAGATTCTGGACTCTAGATCCAAGCTAATTTTTTTCAACGAGTGTAGACCTAGTCTAGTCGTTCATTATCGTTATATTCAGATTGATGTCTTGAATCACTCACCGTAAGAAACCTGAAGGCGATCATCGTGGTTGAACTGCAGTGAGATTGCCTTCAAAAACTACAATGAATAACTTCAGATACTGAGGTAATGACATTTAGTTTTATACTCAGCAGATCACTCGCGGACCCCCCTCGCCCGGCATGGTTTACGATAAGTCGATTTCCCTGTCATTTAAACCTATGATATAGGATCGATCATCGGGGTGTTTGCGATGAGCATCTTAATAATCGATTCTTTACCATCGCTTCAAATGTGAAAATATTGATTGCTGACGATTCGCGCTCCCCTCACCGCACGCGGATTGATAAACTTCAGTGCAGATAAGCGAAAATAAAATGATTTTGTCGGTCTGACCGACTTTTAATTACTTTCAAATTTCCATAGTTGTCAGATCGACCACATGCATGAATAATTTTGATTGACTTTTTCATACTCAACATCCTGTTGCATCCCTGATGGCCTGACGGTCATCTGTAAGGGGTCCCGGTCCCCTTTATTTTATTCATTATTTATTTCATTTTCTCAAGATGCTTCGTTTCGTGGTTGTCCACGGTGCTGGAACCACCCAGAAACGCCCGAGCCATATTCTTGATTTATCGTAGAATTACTATGAACATTTGGATTACATTTTGCAATAAGGAACCACTATTTCTGGCCCATTTTAGAAACAACATACATGCCATTGGTTTCCCTATGCAGATATGTGTTTTTATCGGAGAGCCTAAGATAGTGGTTCCTTGTTGCAAAATGCAATTCATTTAATTTAAAGAATAATTTAATGATTTTCAAAGTAGGAAATCTCTTGAAATTTCTCGTATAATGTGTTAGAGAATGTTTAGTATAGTGCTGTTTGAAAAAACCTTTCTCTGGATGCGATTTTTTCTCCGCTATACTCCTCAAGGCTCTTTATAAGTGTCTTTTCTCGTCACTAAATTCAATTTAAATCGTTGGTCACTGGAGAACATGCACACTGCATTTCTATCATACATGTAAAACCGTAAAATTTTCAGTTTCAAGTGTTATATTATAAGATGGCTTAATAGTAATCGATTATTAATTATTCTTCATAATGTTTTTAATGTGCCCATATTTCATGGAAAAGGCGTCCGGGATAACTACTGTACGGTAGCAGATGGACGCACAACCTTCATCACGGATCTAAATACTATTGGTAGTACTAGTGCTCTGGTCAGCGACTCTTACACCAAATCTTATTCTCTAAATTATAAAATCGTATAAGATTAACGCGGAATGCATAACCCCGCTGAGGCGCGATGCACTTTGGGATGCTGGATCGCGAAGCACCCCGAATCTAGTTTCGTCAGTATGAGATAGGGGCTGAAGTTCCAGGTTCTAACGTGATTTTATGCGCCGACTTGGAAATATTACCGTGAAAGCTGTTCTGTCATGGAAGAACGCTGTATGAGCCCTTAGACGCTGCTGAGTTCCTCTCATGAAATTACATTTCCAGAGAAATGTGTGAATATTTTTCTTCTAATTATTTAGAAAAACCGAATCGGCAGTTTAATCATAAGCACCTTAACCTCTCTAAGACAAATGAAGGTATATGTAACCAGAATTACTCCAGCTATATCAATCGTTGCTGAATTTTCTGCCTGTTTGATTTTCAAATAGAAAATTGCTCGCGTTAGCATCACTAAAGCTTGTAACTTTGTGATTATATTCTTCATAAATCGGGTAAATTCATAGAAAGTTTGAAGACGTTAAGAAGTTTAGTTCTCTGCATAAACAAATAAACATGAGGGATATTAGGCAATGTAAAAAGGACTACATTATAAACTTGGGAACTACAATTTCTGACTTATCCATTGAAACACGTATGTGCATATAAGAACTAAGGTTACATAAGTTTTTTCTCAACTTAGCTAGATTTTCTAGTTCCTAATAAATTGCAATCGCACAGCAACTGTACTAAGGCTGGTTTCGGTTAAGTAATGGACTTTATTTTGAAATTACAATTTCTAGCTCGGTTTAGCAAAAACGTATGTGCCCTTAGTTTCCATATGCACTTAAGTTTCTTGCGGATGAGCCATAAATTCCAGTTTTGTATTGTAAAATGTAGTCCTAATATGCTTCACTTCTAAAGCTCCTTGAGCGATGAATTTTATCCGCTAAAATTGACATCGGCGTTATTTAGCACGGCACAAAAGCTGTGTTTGCAGTTATAAAGATCATCAACACAAATAAGAGTATCAACTTTTTACGCTACATGTTTGTTGTGATACAAAAATAATTCTCCAGGTTATTTTTCTTTTTGTCCGTGGTATGACTTCGGTGAGTGACGCGCAGTTCACTCAGTAAACAAGAACGATAAGAATAAATTCAAATTTAGTGTAATGACATCAAATGATTTCTTAGAAGTTCTCTCTTTTCGATAGATTTTTGGTAATAGACAAGGAATTCTTTACGTTTAAATGCACCGTGCAATGCCAGTCATTACTGTTGCCAATAATTTTCACTCCTATCATTGAAACGAATGAGCTAGTTTGATTCTTTGTACTCATATTTTTTGTCCTCGGTGTCTTTGTAGATCCGTCCAGCATACTATAAAATTTCTATTTTCTCGAAATCAAATTTCCCTCATGATCAACCTCTTCATCCCTTTTGTTGCATACCTGTAAAGTTTCATGAGGGAATATATGAAAAATGCCTTGGAAAAAGTCATTGTACGTGTCCGATTTTAGATCAAAACCATGAGTTTTAAGATATTACTGCATTGCTATGAGTGTTGATTGACAACGGGATGAAAACAAAAACGAAAATTAAGGACTAAATAAAACTTAGCCATAGCGTTACTACGAATATTTACATTTTATTTACAGAAATAAATAAAATTTTGTTACTTACACTTAGACGTTTATACTCTTTAACATTTTAGATTGAGAGGAAGAACTTCTAATGACAGAATTGTTAAAGAATTTTGATCAGTGTTAAATTCAAATTATAAATTATGGAATTCCATCCATCTGAAAGTGGACTGATTTTTGCAATAACGGACACGTTGCACCCACGTTGATTTTTAAAATTTAAAGCAGTTTGGACGTATTCAAATCAAAAGGAACTGTATCCATTGTGATACGAGCTCTGAGACTCGTATAACATTTTAGATTGAGAGGAAGAACTTCAAATGACAGAATTGTTAAAGAATTTTGATCAGTGTTAAATTCAAAATATAAATTATGGAATTCCATTTATCTGAAACTGGGATGATTTTTGCAATAACGAACACGACGCACCCACGTTGATTTTTAAAATTTAAAGCAGTTTGGACGTATTTAAATCAAAAGGATTTGTATCCATTGTGATACGAGCTCTGAGACTCGTACCTATAACATTTTAGATTGAGAGGAAGAACTTCAAATGACAGAATTGTTAAAGAATTTTGATCAGTGTTAAATTCAAAATATAAATTATGGAATTCCATCTATCTGAAACTGGGATGATTTTTGCAATAACGAACAGGATGCATCCATGTTGATTTTTAAAATTTAATGCAGTTTGGACATATTTAAATCAAAAGGAACTGTATCCATTGTGATACGAGCTCTGAGACTCGTATAACATTTTAGATTGAGAGGAAGAACTTCAAATGACAGAATTGTTAAAGAACTATGATCAGTGTAAAATTAAAAATATAAATTATGGAATTCCATCTATCTGAAACTGGGCTGATTTTTGCAATAACGGACACTATGCATCCATGTTGATTTTTAAAATTTGATGCACTTTGGACGTATTCAAATCAAAAGGAACTGCATCCATTGTGACACGAGCTCTGAGACTCGTAAGAATATATGCGTAACGGGGCTCGTGTCACAATGGCTCTTTTGATTTAAATGTATCCGTTCATCGAACGTGGTGCGTTATTGGTGACCCCGTTTCAACAGGGGTGGAATGTTGGAATAATGTCCGCACGAGAGAGCTTTCAAAATCCGTATGTCTCACTGGAAAAAAAAAACACATTGAATCTAGAGTCTAGACTCTTGAAAACATTGACAAGAAAAAGGACTCTTGATTCAATCAGATTTAAGTTTAAATCAAAAGGAAATCCGCTTAAATTTAGAGGCTTGGTTCTTGATTTAAGCTTAAATCTGATTGAATGTATGTATGTATGAGCCGCTTTTACGGCGCGCTAGGGCGCTCTGCGACGCCTAT